CCTCAGGAACAACAGAGTCAGAGTTTTGGTATAGAAGACAGAGAAGTAAATACTCACATGATCCTCGAAGTCAGGGCTGGACAGATTAATAGCCAAGTTTCTCATCAGCAAAAGCACCTGAAGAGCGGATAAGGGTATCAGATATTTACTATATAAGTTGTTTGAAGCATATTACTATATTTAAAGAGTGTTAGGTAGAATGAAGCATATTACTATATTTAAAGAGTGTTAGGTAGAACATTATGTGAACTACAAAACTAGTAAATGGGCTGAATTTCAGATGGAAGTATAGCTATTGTGAAGCCAATCAATGGTATTTCATAGTGGAACCAATGAAATTGGGTCGAAGAACATACGGTTTCGACGTCTATTTGGTCCATCTTGTTTAACCTCTGCAAATGATCTATGGCTTTTGGGTCGAACACGCTGCCAATGAAGTTATAAACCTGACCAAAATCTGGAAGAACTGCATACAAACAACAGCCAGTAATAAGTAATGGTAAACAAAGCGTCCTCTTAAGGAAATTTAATAATACTTCACCTCTCAACGGAAGGTTGTTATTTTCCTCGATGCTTGATGATTTAGTTGGAAAACGTGTTCTTGTAATGCTACAGTTATTTTGTTTAACTTCCCCTGCAAACATAAAATAGAAAGGAATGATCTAAAGCAATCAAAGAAGAAAGAAACATTAAGATCATGTTCAGAGACTTCAGGCTCAATTGATATGGCAATTCAAACCTCTTGCAGCTTGAGAGAAATTGGCAGTGTGGATAGAATGATCCGCCCTGGAAGGCATGGCAGCAGCAGAAACAAAACTCACAGGAACCGAAGAGGAATCTGGCTTTGTAATGCATTCCGGTTCAACAGATGATGGCTGTAATGGCCGTGACACGAGTGCAAGATCTGAGATCATAATGAGAAGCCATTGGCAAAATTTACTTAACTTTTCAAAAGAAAAACTAGAGGTTGAAGCTGTCCTGACCAATTTTTGAAGCTTTTTGAGGATATGGATGAGCAGCTTTCCTCTTAGGTCGAGGAGGGGGCAAGTGTTCACCTGTCCCACTCTTCTCAACCTTCAGGAAGTACTTCTGGGCATGGCTACGTATCTGTAACAAACCATCATGTTCAGTGAGAGACGAAGCTTGAAGTACTCAAGCCTCTTCAAGATCTACAAGTTTTTAACGAAACAGAACAAGATATACAAATTTACTTCATAATCATTAAATTTTCATGAATTTAGCATTAAACTCGACTCTAAATTATGCAATAAAGTTCCAATTTCCAGATCTTATCTATAAAAATCTCAGAAAAACTATTGAAAGATTGAATGTTAAGCAAAAGATTGAAAACATTCCCAGATTTGTTCCTTGGACCGTACAAACAAAAGGGGAACGTGAGACAAGTGTCTTACATTACCTGAATGACAGTCTTGGATCCAACAAACGCCTCAATCTTCTTCCAGTCTCGATCAAACCTAAAACATGTAATCAAGAGAAACGTAAGTAAACTGAACGAACAGTCAAATACTCCAAAATCACTTCGAGAAAACAAGCGCAATGCCTCCGCTCATGAATCCAGAAGCCTTAAATCAGGAAAAACAAGAACAGAGAATTCGAAGAAACTCTTATTTACTAACAAAAATTCAAAGAAACTCCAGTCGAACAGAAGAGAGAACAGCAGGAAAAACAAGAACAAAGAAGCTCGAAAAGAAATAGAAGATTATACAGTTGAATAGCTTCGAGGAACTTATCGTGCTCAGGCTCAGTCCAGCTCTCTCTGCACTTGGTGATGGTGTAAGGTTTCCGAGCTCTCTTCGAAAGATCCTCCCTCGACGACGTCGGAGCAGCGTTGAACGGTAACGCCATTTGTACGGATCCAATTCGGAATATACAGCCAGGTTTAGCCCGAGCACGAGGTTCGAGAACGGCAGTTTGCAGTTGCCAGTACCATTGATATTTTCCGTGGAGATACTTTGAAACGATCGGCTGCGGCGGGTGTATGTTTAGTACAAAACGTGTAAGCAACAGAAAGATGACACGTGTTTTATTAGCATTGATTTTTAAGAGTCAAAGCGGGGTATTTGGTGCGGCCGCAGGTAGAGGAGTGTGGCTGGAAGGTTGGAGGGAAAGAAGGGAACCGTTATGTGGGGGAATGAAAAAGAGTTCCCTTATCAATGGGAAGACACGTGTCGATTGCTGCCTCGGTGGCTTAAAAAAAGTGGTTTTTAATTTTAACACACCCCAGTGGAAGATATTTTTATTGGGACCTACACGCTCGAATTTGTACCACCCATCAAATCTTATCTTTTCCTCAGCTTCGCGCAAATGGTCCGCAGTAATTTTATATGATTTACGCTCTCCAAAATTCTACACAATCTTAATTTTACCGTCTCAAACACGGAAATTCTACGTAATAAATATATACAATTATTATGCCACATACAATATGTTCCTCTGTAATCTCCTCTTTGTAAGGGGCGTTTGCTTCATGGTTTGGAGAAGGATTTTGAGGTGGAAAATGACGTGGATTTATAAAAATCATATTTTAAGGAGGGGAATTAATTCATTGAAATCATCATTTTATTATTTTTGTTTTTTTTCTTCCTCCACTTATTTGTTCTTTTTTTAATATATATTTTTTTCGGGTCTTACCTTTTCTTTTTCTCTTTCTTTTATTTTCTTCGTTGTTTTTTAAATATGATTTTTTTCAATTATGGTAGAATAAGTGAAATAAATTAACTATAATAATTTTTAAAATATAAAATAATTAATTTTTCATACTCATTAGTACAATTTTGAATACTAAAAGAAGCATATAACATATTATTTATAATAACATTCATATCACATATTATTTATGAAACTAAAAGTTAGGAATATTATAAAAAAAACGGGGTCATGAATTTATAATCGCATATTATAATATTTCCTGGAAAGGAAGCATAACTTATACTCCTTGAATTATATATAATCCCATATTATATTATCTCCATTTAGTTTGGAAAGTCTAAAATAAAGGAAGCATAACTTATACTCCTTATACTCAAAGTAGGCAGTAGTGAGTGGTGTTTGTTATATTTGTTAGACGAGCTCTCGTAGTTTTTCCATGGATCATTCCTTAAATTAGCCGATGTGAAACTTTCATCATCTAACACCTCCCCTCGAACAAAAACAAAGTACACCTCCCTTTAATCAAGGTTCGACTCCTTTAGAATCTTAGTCATTTTTTAACTGCCTTCGAGGAGGCTTGACAAGAGTCATTTATTCGATATTTGAAGTATTGGTACGACTAAGTTTAGGGCATGGCTCTGATACCATATTAAACGAACACGCCTTCGAGGAGGCTTGACAAGAGTTGTTTATTCGATATTTGAAGTATTGGTACGACTAAGTTTAGGGCATGACTTTGATACCGTTTAAAACACGACTCTCTATAATTAATAGTATAATAAACATTTATTTTGAGCTTCCCAAAAACATCATCCTCGTTCCAAATTCCAACGTAGATAATATTATTTTATTTGTTTATAATAAGACCGCTATCGGCAGATGTGGGACTTAAAAGCGTTCATCTAACACTATCTAGTCATTGTGCCAGTAATATTTTTCCAGGTAATTGGGAAAAAATGGACAAACATTCATACTCCCTGATACCAAATTTACAAAGGTAACTAAGTTCTTACTGAGATTACATTCACACGGTGGCTTCTCGACGATTTATTTCTTAATTACAAAGAGTCGAAATAAAAATCACCACCGCCGACTATAATTTCAGTTCGAAGCCGGATCGACACCGACGGACCTGAGCGTCTCAGTACGGTGGCGATGAGCATAAGCATCGCCGAGTTGAGGATCGTAAGGAACGCGATAATTGCGTAATTTCTCGAGTTCCTGAACGTGAGCCACTTTTCTGAAGAACGATTTAGCGAAGAACTTCTCAGTCTCCTCCGCCACGTGCTCTGGCTCTGCCACCTCCGGAATCGTCTCTCTGCGCTTCTTCCGAACGGAAACGGACGGCGAATGAGCCAACTGCTGCTTCGCCGTGTGCAATCCGAGGGCTACAGAAAGCGCAATCAGACCGATCGCCACATAGACGGGGACAAAATCGCCGGCTCGTGACGCCTTCGGCTTGCTCTGTTGCTGCTGGTAATTGTGATCGAATCGCGAGAAATCGGCCGCCGGCGCGTATGATTTCATCCTCGCCTCCGTCGCCGTAGCATATGACTTAGGGCTTTTATTCACAGTTCTGAAGCTATTTGCTGCCAATCGAGTTGCCAAAAACCTGAACGCCATTTTTCGTTACGATGGACGATGTAAAACCTTGATGAGAACCGATGATGGATGAAAGTGACCGTGCCGGATTTTATAGGGACGGAGAAATTAAGAGACGGTTCTGGAACCATGGGGAGGCCGCTACCGAGAGAAGAAGACGATATACGTGTCGGCTGAATAGAGAGGACACGTTTCATGGAAGTCTCTTGAAGTTGCCGAGTGTAACTTTTTTTTCATTCATTTCTTTATTATTATTATTATATTATCTTTATTAAAAAAGAATTTTGCCATGCTTTTAAATTCGGATTTTGATTTTTAAAATTTAAAATTTTAATTAATTTATTAGGGACAATTTTAAAATTTACAAGATGTGTGATTTTGCTTTGAAATTGATAGCAACATTCCATAATAAACATTTTTAATTAAGAGATAAAAAATTCATGAATGAAAAGGACAAGTGGTTTTTAATTTTATTTTTATTTTTTAAATAATAGTGAAATATGAGAAAATAGTTTGACCCAAAGGACACTGCAGATTAAACTTAAACCAAACGACACGTCGACAACTACAATGTTATCCACCAAAATGCCAATAAGAAACAGAGTTTGGTTTTGTCTGCTCCAATTGCTTCAAGCATTTACAATTTCTCTATAAAATATCTTCCTTTTATTATTAGTCATTAATATCATTCAGTAGTTTGCTTCTAAATCTTCTGCAACTCTCTCTCTCTCCTCTATGGAAGCGAAGGTTAGAAACCCGGTTTTGTTAATTTTAATTTCTAATTTTTGAGCAAATATATACAATTATGTCTCTGCATAATTGATTCTTCAATTTTACTTACCAAATATTCTTCAATTATATTAGGAAATGAAAATCGTGCATTAAATAATTTATTTGAAAGGAATATTGGTTTTTGTGGGCAGAAAATAGTGCTGGAAATACCGCTCTACAATGAAGACGACAAGAAAAAAGCCATGACTATAGTTTCTAAACTAGAAGGTAATATAATCTATGTAAATTTTTATTTTAATTTAAGCAATTATACTTTTTAAATTTGCAATTTTAATTTTGTAAATGAACACGACTCTCCACAATGGTATGATATTGTCCACTTTGAACATAAGCTCTCATGACTTTGATTTGGACTTCCCTAAAAGGTCTCATATCAATGAAGTTAGTATTTGTCACTTATAAACCCATGATCATTCCTCTAAATTAGCCTAGTTCCATCCTCCAATACAAGGAATTTAGTTTTAAAAACTTTTCCTATTTTAATTCTCTAATTATAAGATTTTTTTAATCAAGTTAAAAAATTATATATTTTCATAATTATATCACTAATATAGTTTTTGAAAAAAAAATGAAATGAAAGATTAAAAATTCTGAAATGAGGTAGGAGATTCAAATCATTTTTACTAATCACTAGATATTATTTTAGTTAAATAACTTATAACACAGTATTATAATAATAATAATTTATGATTAAATTAAGTTCATATTTTTCTTCTTCTTTAAATTAGGTTTATAATTTCCATATAATACACCGATAGAAAATGCAATTAAAATTATTAGAGCAATAAAAGGAGAATAAGTTAAAGATATATATATATATATATATATATTCTGGGTAGGGGTGACTTCAATCTCCATGGAAATGAAGGAAAAGAAGATGACAGTGATCGGGGAAGTTGATCCAATATGCATGGTGCGAAAACTAAGAAGGTTTCGTCAAACAGAAATAATCTCAGTGGGGCCACCGAAAGAAGAGGAGAAAAAGAAGGCCGAAGATAAAATTGAAGAGGTTCTCAACTACTACAGATATAATGTTCCATTTTATTCGGTTCAACCATATGAACAGCCTCCTACTTGTGTTATTTGTTAGCAAGGATTTAAATATCCCATTACTTAATTTAAAGTTCTAAAATATATATAAAATATGTATTCTCTATTAAATAAACAAACATTTCAAATTTGATGAATTCTTGAAAGAAAAATATCAATTTATATTAATTAGATCAATTTAAATTGAATCATATTGTTATTGATTCTATTTAAATCCCTTCAAAATTACTTAAATAAAATAAAAATTCTAGAAATTATAAATTAATTATTTCTAAATAAGTAAAGAAAATAGGAGAATTCAAGAATATAAGCAACCATTCATTAATGTAAATATATGCCATTAACGGTTATAATACAATACGAAATTCTAATATATTATTTAAATTGATTACCCTAAAGTACTCATGCTCGCAATCAATTCCAGAACGATACGGCGACGTTTTGACAAGGAATCAGCGCGTAAGTTGCCTGATTGTAATAATACGACGACGTTTTGGCAAGGAATCAGCGCAATTATATAGACATTTATGCAGTTTTGTCTACATTACCGGTATTGAGCAGACTTATCCGGAATATGGTATCTTCGTAACCAAACAGAGCAAATTAGTTTCCTCCACGATTGGCTTCGTCTTCCTCCTTCCACATCTCAACCCAATTCTTCTGCGCCTCATCCCATCCAAACAGAGTCCCTTCCTTCTCCGGATCCAAACTCGTCGACAGCGTCCCGTAAGCGATTCCCATCGTCGAAGCTCCAAATGTCAAGAAAATCGTCAAGAACGGCAGCCAAATTGGCACATGCCAAAGTTTCTGCTCATGGACCGCCTCTAAGATCTTCACCAATGTCACGCCGAACGCCATCGGAACTCCAACGAAAGCCAAGATTCTCGTTATGATCCTCTTGGCTACGGCCTCTGGAATTTCATCGTCGTCGCCGCCGCCGTCTCTGCTATTGTTTTGGCCGGAAGGTTTTTTCACGGCGGTTTCTCTGTCTTTCGCTGTTGCCGGAGAACCTGTGAAACCCTTGGCGTTTAGTTGGATCTGGCCTCGGGATGTTCTTGTGAAAATTCTGAGATTCTTCGTGGTCGTTGAGTCATCGATTCGGCTTCTCTGTTTCCATGGCGGAGGCTTCGAGAGGTGTAGAGCGTGCCGGAAGGAACACACCAGAGCTTTCATGGCGACTTGGTTTTTTTAATTGGGTTCACTTAATTTTATTGCCGGAAATCTTATCCGAAAGCCTTTTCTTATGAGATGGACGGTGGCGCTTCATCATCGAAAAGATATTTTTTACATTTGATATTCGCGTTTTTTTGGATTTTTTATTTCCTCTTTTCTCGATGATTTTATCGATTTTATTTATTTTTATTTTATTAATTCTTGTGCGTGTGGTGGACAAGGGCATTGTTCATAATACTGAAAATTTAAATACCTCTAATTTTATATTTCTCATGTTAATATGTATTTTCTTTTCGGTACTTAAAAGTTTGTTTACACTTATTAATTCAAATATTAGGTTTTCCTTATTTTGATTCAAACATTTAGAAGAAAAAATTATATACTAAATGATAGAATAAAAAATAAAATGTATTAAAAAATTAGTTGGCTGATCAACTCTAGCACACTTGAAGGTATTGACAGGTTGGTTATTAATTTTGTTAGATGGTAAAATTAATTCGAATCTATATAATATTTGTTTGATGGACGAGTTCATTTTTAAATTAATTAAGAGTGAAATGAAAAAATTTAATATTAATTTTCGAATAGGGTAATTAATGGAAAAATTTAATATTAGTTTTATAAATATTTATTTAATGTTACCTTAGCATGATAGAATTGGAAATTTTGGGGTCCTTTAATTTCTACTTAAAAACAACGGTTAAAACATGACGTGGCTAGTTTCATTCATATCCGCGCGCGGAAGGTTTAGGGTGGAAAGGTCATTTCGGCGGGAAGAAAAATGAAACACCAATACGTTTCATTTATATCCGCGCGCGGCTCATTCCGAAACATAATCAGAATTATTTTTCAAAAGAGGAGAGAAGAAAAATGCGAAAGACGAGAGAATCCACAGAGTTCAATCGTGAAGGACGACGTCGATCGGTCGTTTGAATGCTTCATGTGCGGCGTTTCTCATCCTTGTAAGTTCTGTTTCTCTAATTTTAATTCGAGTTTCTACAACCTACGCAGCCATGCGAGCTCTGCGAAACAATGTACTGCGAATCTCGTTTTTAGACAATGAATTTCACTGTGAAGCATTTGTAATTATTGTAGAAAAACTACTAGATTTTGTAAACTGGAATTACGATAGAGGAGCAATGTTATAGGTCGAGTTTCTGCTGTGATTTGGTGATCAGCATGGATGTTCTTTGTTTCTGTATTTTCTGCTTCTGATTATGTGCGGTTATCCATCCTGTTTCTGTTCAGAATCTTCCGTGAGAGGAAAAAAGAAAGAAAAATTACATTGAAGCCTGAGAGTTCAGCAAACTTTGAGACTCCAGTTTCTGATTCAGTTAAGGAAATACAGGACAATGCAACGAACGGCCAAGATTTCATGGAAAAAGTAAGTCGTTGTTTTCTGGATGGCGGAGTTTGCCTGAATTCCATGAACTTATTCTTCATATGCTTATTCAAGTATTTCAGCTGTCTAATGAAGTTCAGAGTTCGTTGAGCTAATGATGAGCCTGAAACAGCTTGATTGTTGTGTTTTTTTTTTTTTTTTTTTTTTTTTTTTTTTTTTTTTTTTTTTTTTTTTTTTTTTTTTTTTTTTTTTTTTTTTTTTTTTTTTTTTTTTTTTTTTTTTTTTTTTTTTTTTTTTTTTTTTTTTTTTTTTTTTTTTTTTTTTTTTTTTTTTTTTTTTTTTTTTTTTTTTTTTTTTTTTTTTTTTTTTTTTTTTTTTTTTTTTTTTTTTTTTTTGGCGTTGCTTGACAAAACTATAGTTATCACGATTCAGTTTGGTTTGACAAGTAAAGCAAAAGGTTCTAGTTATAAGAAGTTCTCGCCAGTCTTATTTTATAATTCACCTAGAGGCGTACCTCCGAGGAGGCCATCTAGTTTGTGGAGATTATTGCTTGAAATTCGTGTCGAGCTTTCTGAACAAAGTAGATTCAAGTTTAGGTATATTTAGGTTTCATCAAATCTCTCCCATTCCTCTTCCTGTTTCACCATCATTCCACTTCTCGATGATTCCATTTGACATTTCTGGTATCTTTTAAGTAGTGAAGTTTGCAATGAAGTTTGCTGTGAAGTTTGGACCACATTTCCTAGACAAGAAGAAGCAATGAAAGTTTGCAAGAGAGCACACAGATGTTCATATTTTAGATATCAAGATCACTTTAATGAACAAAGGAGATTTCTAGTTTCATCACACAGCAAGTTTTGGCAATGTTGTCATCAAATTTTAATAATACTTCGAGTAGAAAAATTATTTTTCCATCAGCCTAGCAAACGCTTCTGATGTCGTTCTAACTACGTTCTTAATTAATTTCAGGTACAAAAGCATGGATTCAAAATTTAGCCACCATTAAATTGATTCAAGAGGTGAGCTGAAAAAGTTCGAGTCAATGTGCCGATCATGTAATTGAATCTGTGCGAATCGTGTTCTCTTTTCTTTTTTCTACTGCACTTTCTCACTGTTCTATTCCAACGTTCAGGTTGCTCCGCGTCATGTTTACTTTGATATGGAGTACAAGATAAAAATCAGCGCGGGAAAAATTGGAGACGTAATGGTTGATTCCTAGATATCAGTTGTTCTAGAGGCCTCAAATTGAAAGTATTCGATTCAAGGAAGTTTTGACTGGATACTAGAGCTTGATTCCTCAAACAAGGTATATTTAGCAACAATTGGATTTAGGCTTCATCTTCTTGTCACTTGTGTTATTTCTTTGTTATCTCTTGAAATGTATACTTAATAGGTGAAACTAGGTTCTTGTAATTTCTTTTCTTTTCTTTTATTTTTTAGACATCGCATAGCTCAAATTTTCTTGGTATTAGTATAACATATCATTTTTATCCTTTTTATTAGTAACAAGTTCATAATAGTTAACAGGATTATTTCTGGTAATTCTACAGGAATATGATTACTTCATTTCTTAAAGAAAATTATTTTTGCTAGACAAGTTCAGATTAAAAATATATATATAATTTTGGTTTCCAACAGAAAAGAGGAAGTTGAAGGCACTTCGTAGTCATCATTATTTAGAAATTTTGCCAAAACTTTTCCAATATCGGAGAAATTGTTTTACTCCACCTTTCAAGAAAGTAGTTGCGCAGGATACATTATTCTGAGAAGGATCCTATTATTTACCTTGTACATATTTAATCGTAGTGTGAGGAAGACATGTTCATGGCATCCTTGGTCTGCAACGTCGATGCTGAGTGTGAGAAACTTCTGGTTTGCGAAACGGAATTACACTGCGTAAAGACATTGCAATTTGAAATGGAGGTACGATCAAGCTGAGAATCCATTTAGTTATGAAGCTGCTTTGAACAGTCCATGACATGTCGATTATACCTTTCAAATTGAATTATCTTATAAATCCAAATGTCTCGTACCTTTATGTTTGATTTTAGTTATTCAACATTTGTTTACCTTTGAGGTTCTCTGGCCGCAGGAGATATGTAATTTTGGACGGTTTGTTGAATCAGCTGCCTCAACCGGAAATGTATCAGGTAATTTACCTGTATGAAAACCCCATGGGATAGACAAGTTTTGTACTTCGTGCGATCTACTTTCTCTGGTTGTTCTTTTTCTTTAAATCATCTGAGAATTTACTCATATCATCTTTCTTGCATGCAAAACATTGATCATCCATGTTTTCATCGTTCAGTGATGTATGTTGTCGACCTTACGATGGCTGCCTATTACCAAAGTGTCACGATCCAGATTGTGGAGGTGCTCAAATAAAACTTAATTGTCAACTTTTTTTCGGAAAAATATTTATTTGCAGCCATTGCTTGATTGAACTTATCACCCTACAGGTTACCGATCTCCACTGCGTCCAAGTCCAATTGATGCCATTCCTAATCCTTGGGTCTCCACGGATTCAGAACAGATATCAAATGACATAGAATCGTCCAACTGATGCCATCTTCGTGCATGCGTTTCCAACTCGCGAGCAGCTAGGTTTCGGATCCAGGGTAAGCAAAAATCCCTGAACACCTAATTATTTTCTGAACTCTTTGATATTGTCCATAGTTAATTGAGCTTAAGAGTCAAATTGTTCTGCTCCCCTTTCAAAGCTCCGCACCATTAGAGAGTCAGTTTTATTAACGCAAATAGGATAAATTTCTATCTCGATCGCCATTAGCCATGGTTCAAAATATGAAATTGAATAGTAATTTTTAGAAAAGCTTCACATAAATTTGGTACTTTCAAAAGCGTCGCAATAGTAAATTAGCTCCCCACCTTTTGAAAATGAAAACTCATTGGAGAGTGACATTGAAGATATTATTTAATGTTAAAAGTACCAGTTTTTCTTCCAATTTCATTCTCTAATTGAGCTGGTAAAATTGTGGCTACAGCGGAAGGTTTTTAGTCTTAGTTGATATACACAAATGAAGAATAGGAAAAGGGAGGAAGAAGGAGGGGGTTACTGCCACCGTGAGTGTGGTGAGTAGAAAGAGAGGTGAAGAGCAAGTAGTATTTTTTTTATAGATAAACACGACTCTTCACAATGGTATGATATTGTCCACTTTGAGTGTCTTTACTTTAGGCTTCTTCAAAAGGCCCGGTACCAATGGAGTTATTACTCACTTATAAACCCATTATCATTCCTTAAATTAGGGGACTTTCATTATCCAACATTTTTTTTTCATGCTAATTTAAATTAATTTAAAAAAATTGAGAGCCTCTTTTAAACCTATTTCTCAAAATTTGTACTTTTTTAATTTTCAAATCTATAGTTTGCATCTAAATATTATAAATTTATAATCAATAGATTTTTTTCCAAATTTTTTTTTAGTGTTACATAGGTTCTGTCTTTTTTTATCTTTTAAAATTCCCCACAAAATAAAAAATTTTCTTTTACAGAATGCTTGCTTGTCTGATAAGTTTGTGAGTTTTAGGTGGAAAGTATTTAAGCCCAAAAGACGAAACAAATCTCTCAAAGAACATAAAAAGTAGACCTCCCATGGTTATCACCAAAGAAGCTTTTTGGCTCAAAGAACATAAAAAGTAGATCTCCCATGTTTATCACTAAAGAAGCTTTGGACTCCATTCTTTCCCACCAAAATCCAAAGCGAACACTTCCTATGCCCTCTCCCGATCGTCTCCCCCACAATTTCCAGCCCAATGCGTCAAAGCCTCGCCGTTCAGCCTCATTCCTCTCCTCATGCTCTTTTGGTTTTCTTCTCCATCTCTTCCCTACATAGACGTCAAAGTTGTGACCCATTTCCCCCAAAATTCCGCCATAAGCTTACCTGCAACTCATGCAAGCTACTTGCTCTTTTGCTCCACCACCTGCAAACTCTAGCCTCCATGGACGGCACTACCTTGACTCTTTACAGAACCTCGCGTCTCTGGTTTAGCTGCAAAATATTAGATAGCCCTGGTAGCAGCGTCATGCTTATGGTGCGTGCGGGTGCTTTGGGACCCCATTAGATCCGGTGTGAAGAAAGTGACTATTTGGAACAGAACGGAGGAAAGGGCAAAAAATGCAGGGCTGGACGGGGTCTCTACTTGAAGAGTTGTGGAACTCTGGATTATGCAATTGTGTGTGCAACCAACTCAGAGGTTCCTCTGATGAAAGGTATTTTATCCCATGTTATAATTTTTAGTGTATTCGCTTCTGTCGCCTGTGGACTTGTATGTCTCTAACTTCGGATTAGTAAGATTGCATGAAGTCGAATTTGGAGCTTCTTGTTCGAATCTGGTGGGATTGATTAACGGGGGGTTGGTGAGAAGAAGGAATAGGTAGGAAATAACTGCGTTCAGATCTGTTGTTGGCTCTGCAGTGTCGGACCTTGTTGCGAGAGGAGCATCCGAGAGTTTTTCAAGCTTCCTTTGATCAACAGGTGATTCCTCTTTACTCCTGTTTTCTTGCTTGATTTTCTGTTTAATTTTGAACTTGACGACCAATTTAGATTAAATCCTTTAATAGAAAATCAAAAAATCTTTTGGGAGATTTGTTAAATAGAAATGGGTGGACCGTGAGTGGAAATTTTTAAATAAATTAGTTCTCCTTTTCAATTTTCATGTTTTAAAAGTGTTTAATGAGATTTTGGCTGTTTTTTTTTTTACTATTTTTAAAATTTATTGGTCTATTGGGTTCATAATTGAAATTTTATAAATTTATTAAACATAAAATTTAATTTTGTATTTTATAGATCAGTTATTTTAAAAATCAAAATTACAAAATAAGCCTTTTGAAGTAAAAGGATTTTCAAGCTTTATTATTTGATATATTTTATTCATTTTCAAGTTGACCTTCAAATGACTTAATTTCTCAATTTAGATAAAATCCTTTAATAGAAAAAAAAATTGGAGATATTTTGGGAGATTTGTTGAATAGAAATAGGACCGTGAGTGGAAATTTTTAAATAAATTACAAGTTTTCTTTTTCAACTTTCATGTTTTAAAAGTGTTTAATGAGATTTTGACTTTTTTACTATTTATAGGTCTATTGAGTTCATAATTGAAAATTTATAAATTTATTAACATAAAATTTAATTTTGTATCTTATAGATAGTTAATTTAAAAATCAAAATTACAAAATACGCTTTTTTGAAGTAAAAGGATTATCAAGCTTTCTTATTCGATATCTATTATTTCATATTGTGACTTGGTTTCTTCAGTTCTTTGGAAGTTTGAATTCAATATCAAGAACCAAAATGAGAGTTTAGAAATAGAGACAATTTAATTTAGCCCACCTAAAATATTAATTAATATATTGAATAATTTAATCTTTAATACATGTTGGATAATCATTTTGTTTTTTTTATTTATTGTTTGTAAAAATTAAACTTATGAAGTTCATACAGTTCCTTGCTCATCACCTATTATTTAAAAAAATTAAACTAAAATTTCAAAACTAAAAAAATGATCTTTTAAAGTCTTCAGATTATTATCTCAGTTTATTTTTGAATTTTTGACAAATAACTGAAAAATTAACAAAATGTTGATATGATTGGTTGTCCATTAGTCTGTTTAATTATCTACCCAATCATATTTAACTCAATCAAAATTAGTTCAACAAACATAATAGTACCAACAAGAACTAAATAAAGATTACAAATGATGACTAAATAGACGTATTCAAAGCTAGAAAAAAAAAACAAAAAATTTAAAATATTTTTTTACCCAAAACAAAATGACCTAAGAGAATGGGAGGGAAACCAGGCTCCATGGCAGTCTAACATTAGATTAATTAACATTTCTAATCTAATAGATTATAAAAGAAATTCTTAAATTCATAACGGTTTGCTAATTTGCTAAAGGATAATATCCTTCATGATTAATCGCTTAAAAACGAGCAAGCGCTTGAAATCAAAGATTAAAAAGGGAGCGTAAAACAGCAGGCAAGAGAGGACATTGGGAAGAGGCCAAATTCATAGTAATTGAAGAATGATTGCTTATTTGCAATCGCCGGATCCATAATATAATCCAATGAATTAACAATTTAAAACAAATTTACCTGCATTCTCTGGAAAAGCAAGTCGTTCAACTGTTTTTCTGCGCTTAACTCAGAGGTTGCCTGAACAGATAAAACAAACTAACTGGTTAAGGTTCAGTAATAAAGCATTTTCCTGCAAACATAAGTTCATTAGAACCATACGCCTAAGCAAGTTTTTTCATCAAAAGATTAAACAAAATATATTTCAAAACTTCTTTCTCTGTAATTTGTTTCCTTACTTTGAAAGGTTATATATGGAAGAAGTTCAAATGAGTAAATTTATGGGTCTACCCATGTATTGTTGCAACCTAGTATGATGAAACAAACTGGACCAAAATATTAGAAGGCTCACTAAATTGTTTTGTTTTCGCAAACAATTAAATATTCTAGCAGAAACGAAGTGTATCCGTTTCGAAAACATGGCAACAAGGTCGAAATATTCACAACTTAACAAATAAAGAAAAACCACATGAAGGTTAATCTGTCCTTGCTTCTTTAGTAATCATATCTACTAGTGATCAATATAGAGGAAAAAGGAGAAGAAGAAAAGGAGAGGAAAAAGCAGTAGCCTGAGAGACCAAGGTGGTAGTTGACTTACTCGTGTATCAAATGCAAACCGCAATGTTTGGACCTGAGTTCCGGAGCAAACCCTCACGTCAAATCCAATTGAATCTATACCATTGATTACAGCCTCCTGCAAGTATTCATTGAAGACCAATGGCCTAAATCATCGTGAACATGATTATAATCTGCGTACCTATTATTGAACTGCAAGAACTAAAGATGGGTAATTGGGCCTTGGGGAAATCTTAAAGTAGAAGATTCCCCCCCAAAACAACTCGAAATGGAGCACGTTCTGTGAATTCTATTATAGGCAATGTTCAAATTTATGTTGAACTATCCAAAAGTGAATATTAAATTCCAGAAACTCTACTTCGGTTCTTGACACCACAAAAGTACACGACCTATGTTATAGCCAATGAAAGAAAACATCCTCGCAACATTGCAGGCTATTTGCCTTTATATGCAACTGCTAGTTTGGTAACTTTATGGATGATCACAGTTATGAAAAATAACCATAAAATGAAGAATTGTATGAAACAAATGAAGTGCGAAATGACTATAGAATAAAATAGTATTAAGATTTAGATAAAAACAATACCCTGAACAGCCCTTTTGGAAAATGCAAAGTAATAATTCAGAGATTAAAACAAATATATTGATGAAAAATCGAATAATTTTTAAGTAAGTTTATACGTTAGTTACCTCAACCTGAATGCCCTTGCATCTCCAACAGAGAGATTTGAGCGCTTGTGTGGTCTTTTCTCCACCTTCTCTTAAACGAGAAATAATTTTTTCTGCTGAGTGCGCAATTGCATCGGGTTGAGCCTGCATGAGGTCTTCTATTTCAACGTTGCTCTGGGAGGAAGGTAAAGGAATGAATATTTGTCAGTAGCAACCAGAAGCAGATCCAAGTAGACATCTTTAGGCTCAAACTGCATAGCGTTCACAAAAGTGGGGAGATCTATGTTGTTGGGATTGAACAGTTATGCCCCATAAACTATCTACATAATCCGGAAAGCTACTGACAGTTCCAGGAAGTGCTGGTTTTCTTCCATAGATACCCTTAATATTGCAAACTTATGGTCAAATATATAATTATATAATCAGAAATTAATGCCGTTAACTTTTTAAAAAGAAAATCTATAATGCTGTTTTGAAAACATGCTTCAATGAGAAAAAGAAACCGAAGACAAACTGAAAAATGAAAATAGAGATCAAACATACTGGATGTGAATGTCCTGTAAATAGCTGAACTTTTGTCATCTCCAGTCGGTAAAATGAAACCTCGTTCATTGGAATATTATCATCCAATCCATTGGATGAGCTAGATTCATGACCATGATTATCAATCCTACCATGATTCTCAAGGTTATCTTCAAGTTTCTGAGCCTCGTTTATGTCGCTGTTACTAGAGTGACGGCTGGATAGATGTCTCTGGATAACAGAACGCTCTTCCCTGCGTGTAGGTCTTAAGGCCCCTTGAATCACTAAAGTTGCTGGGGGCTGCTCCATCCAATCGATAGGATCATCTGATGCAGCCTAAAATGCATAACAAGCACTAAAAAGTTGATAACACGTAATTAAGTCTATGGATATTAGCATAGACAGAGTTGGATCAAAACTCGTAAGTTATTGTTGTCTCAGCGAAAAAAAAGTCAATTAATCCATCATAAATCATTACCTCTGAAAGCTTTTTGGCAAAATGCATTGGATGAGAAGAACGCATTGTCTCCAGTTTTGCCCAATCTCCTGCTGTCTCGTCAGAGTGATTTGGATCATCTTCATCCTCTATGACAGAAACCCAGTCCTGCAGAATGGAGAAACCTTCACGTTCAAACTAAAGGAGCAGAAGACAACAGTAATATTTATTCATTAAATTAGAGAGACCGCATCGTAGTCATCATCTGCATCATCCTCGTCGTCGTCGTCTTCATCATCACCATCACCATCACCATCATCATCACCATCACCATCACCATCATCATCATCTACTTCATCATTAAGAGCCTCATCATCAAGCTCTTCAAATCCCAAATCAACTTCTGATGGACCAAACCAATTGATCTCATCGATCATTTCCATGGTATCAATGCCAATAAGAACTTGCTGCATCATTAATGCCATCAATGCAAACAGTATTAGGGAAAGTCAATTGATATTATCCTTCTAGAGTTCTTTACTGAATGAAAGTACGTCTGCCTATAAAGAATCTCGTTAGATGCTTGATAGGAAGGACACAGTGAAAACGCAAGATGTAGAAAATGATTTATATATTCCCAGTGATGCAATCATAATGAACGTGTTTAAGCTGAGCACTACACTGAATATCAATGGTCCTACGGCGAAGCTAATGTCGTGAAAGTAATGACAAGGGCATGGTAGTACATGAAATCAATAATGAACGTCAAATTTTCTTCCCTTGAACCCTCCCAAAGATCAAATCACGATGTGGAATATATATATGAACACACAATTAAAATCCTGGATTTCATGTAGACTGAATCTTCAACTATACCAATAAAAAACAGTTACGTGACTCCCTCATTTGACGTAACAAGCTGTAACTCAAGAAACAATACAAGTCGAGGTATCTCATAAAGGAATCCAAATACAGAGTACGAACTTCAAAATAAATTTGAAAAAACATTAGATCACTCCTACAAGGGAAAAAATAAAACAACTAATAATTGTTGCATCATCCATCACAAATTCAATAGTATGCGAAAAAAATAAATAAAATAATTATATAATATTGATATTATTCAAAGACTGAAACTTGAAATATAAATTTTTGGATGAATTTTTTTCCGAGAAGGTAATAGTTTGAGTGGATAAAATGTTTTCTGAAACAAGGAAAAATGTAGATAGTTAATCTATTACAATTGCAAACCAAGACAAGCATGATCGTTGAACTATTTAGTTATTTGCAGTATCTGAGGGCAAGAATTT